AACTCCCAATCGCGCCTCAGATCAACTAAAGAATGTCTGGGAGTAGGATCAGGCACCAGTTTTTAAAGTTCCCCAAATGACTCTAAAGCACAGCTGAGATTGAGAGTCAATTGCTTTACTCTTGCAGAAAAGAAAAAAAGAAAAAAAGCTACAAACACCTAAAAGCAATTTGGTTCCTTTTTGATTAAATTTAAATTATTGTTATTCCTGGTTGTATGACCTTAAGCAAGCAATTTAACCTCTCTCCACGTCAGTTTCCTCATTTGTAAAATGGGCATAATATCATCTTTCTGTGCCCACTGCATGAAATAAGATTACGCACGTTAAGTGCTAACCACAGTAACTGACACCTAGAAGCTGTCGCATAAATGTCAGCTACCCATTGTGTCATTGTTGCTGTCGTCTTTATGGTTCCTGCTACCTGCTCTGTTGCAGAGGCCTGGAATCCCCTCCGGGCCTCAAGCCGTCCACCACACAAACTCGGAACCAGCCCTCTGGGAGGATTTTCTTGGGCCTTCAACAACCTGCAAAGATTTACCTTCAGATTTCTCCCTGTTGCTTATACCTCCCCTGCCCTGTGCTCTCTGTTCTACACGCTTCCCTCTCGCCTTGAAGAAAAACAATTGTCAACCTCTGTCCAAAAGAGACAGGAGAGTACAAGGGTCCCCTGGAGCCATGAGACACTGTGAGGATAGCCCTCCCCTGCCTATATCCCTTCCAGATCTTCTGCCAGCCACCTTTCCCAGCTCGTTCGGGATCCTCTTCCCTGATTAATGCCCCGTCACCAGTGAACCTATCTCTTTGCTCATCAGTTGAGCAAGCGTCTACTTTTCTTTCCTAACCTCCGATGTGACCTCAGGAAACGAAAACATGTACTTTTTTTTCCAAGCATGCAATTTGGATACGTATGCACACGTACATATATAATAATGGCATGCACTATTTCCTCACGACTTCCAAATTACTCATCTTCAAAATGAAGATAATGTCTACAGTTACCATCAGACCTTTATTCAGAACACATGGCCACTCGTGGTAGAGGTAGAATACCACCACACCCCAAAATCCATCTTTGTGACAGAATTATGATGGCGTGCTTATCTTTGGTGACAGCAGATCCAAGAAAAGGATGTCCCTCAGACTGATAGAGGCAGGCACACCCTGAAGCCCCCTGCAGCGTACTTGTGCATAGCTGCTTCTGTGGGCTAGAATCATCATATGTCTGAAGACTCTCAGGCATGTGCTCAGAATCCGCGCCAGCATTACTCAGAATGAATTACAGCCAGTGGCCACCTATGTGATAGATTATTAATATTCATTTTCATTTCAAATCACTTCTTTTGGTTTCACATGTAAGGGCTGAGATCCACTGTGGTTAGCAGAGTGGAGGAAGCAAATAACCAGTATGTCAAATTGATGTACTATCGTAGTAAGCACACAGTCCCCACCACCACTGTGGGAGCCCAACCTTGGATGCCTCACAGACAATTAGGAGGCATCTACTACTAAATCATGAGAGGCTAAAGCATACCGTTGCTTTCAAATTTGTAAAGATGACCCAAAAAATACAACAGAACCACAATGGTGGATGTCAACCTCCCTATCCACAAGAAAGCCCTGACCACTTGCAAACAGATGGTAGTCATATGGGCCCCCGGATTTCAGAAAATGCAAAGGCATGGAAATTTTTCTTCCCTTCTTCCTCTTATTGCTTATCTTTCTATAACCCAGGACCACTCCCCTCCTGAGATTAAGAATAGGCTGAGGGCTCTCTGATCTAGCAATTTGACTCCAAAGGTATGACCTCTCAATAAATTGCCTGATTCAGATTGGGTTGGAAACATCAAAGGAACTGGTAACCACTACCTTTACTCTAGTTCGCAGATACAACAAGATGGACCAAAGCAAAGCAAAACAAACAAATGAAAGCCAAATACAGGGACAGCATAAGGACATTCTTCAGACCTCAAAATACTGTCAATTGCAGCTGAAAATTAAAATTTGGCTCTTCGGTCACCTGGGTGGCTCCGTTGGTTAAGCGTCAGACTCTAGATTCGGGCTCAGGTCATGGTCTCAGGGTTCTGGGATCAAGCCCCACAATGGGCTCCATGCTCAGCAGGGAGTCTGCTTGAGATTCTCTCTCCCTCCCCCCTGTCCCTCCCACCACTCTCTCTCTCTCTCAAATAAATAAATAAATATTAAAAAAATAAAATAAAATAAAATTTGGCTCTTGCATAAGCCATTTAAGTATTTGTCCCAAATCAAAAACAAAGTATGGCATTCAATACTCTACCAATTTTTATTTCTCTTCTTTAAATGATCATAAAATTAAGGATCTATCCTGAAAACCAACATGATAAATATAACAGCTGCAGGACAGCCACCGACTGGTTGGTGAATGTACCAGTGAGGGAAAATGCAACATACTTGAGACACACATTTCAGGATGTTCTTTAACCTCATTGATTTCTGGTTTTTGGAGGATGCACTCTGGCAAAGAATAGTTGCCTCTGGGCACATATTACACAGTGAAATAGAAAGAGACAGTACCTGTCAAAAGAATTTATAATCCTCAGGAAGAAGATAAACATCCCACATTCACACCTTATTAGTATGCGTAAGTGTACCATCTAATTGTGTAAAAAGGATTTAATATTCTGGGTACTGTTGTTCCACTGAGTTAAGCATCAGTGAGCACATATAGGGGAACTCAGTTATTCAAGGAAAATTTTCCATCACTTTCCACTAAAATCTATTGTTTATAAATTATCAGCAGGAAATGCACTACCTGCCAGGGACTGAGTAAATATTCTGGCTCATCTTGACCTCAGGTGTCAGAGTATGCCCAAGGACAAGCAATAATCCTTGAGAAACGTGCTGATCGCCGGCTCACATTGCTTAAAAATGGAATGCCCTCAAGGAAATATCCCAGGTCCAAGCACGTGGTGCTTCAGAATCCCCTAGGCATGTGCTTCTCTCCCTTTGGTTTCAGAGAGAATGTGTGGTACAGAGTTCTGACATATTCTTTTTTTTTTTTCAAGATTTTATTTATTTATTTAGTTGTCAGAGAGAGAGAGCACAACCAGGGGGAGGGGCAGAAGCAGAGGGAGAAGCAGACTCCCCGTTGAGCAAGGAGCCCAATGTGGGATTTGATCCCAGGACCCTGAGATCATGACCTGAGCCAGCTTAACCAACTGAGCCACCCCGGCACCCCTTGACATATTCTTTATGAATCCAGTGTATGACACCATTAAAATATCTCAGATACACAAGCAAATTAGAGGAGTGGCCCAGAGTTGGAGTAGCTCGTGGAGATAGCCGGGAATACATTTCAGTACACAACCCCAGGGTCACTCTACCCAAGGAACTGGGGGTGCTGCTCCCAGATCATAGGGGAAATGCTGCTGGAGGGACTGAACAGTGGAAATCCCAGCCCCCGCAAGTTCCATTTTACCTGTCCTATAGAGAGCTTTCAGATAAGATTTCATGAAAGTCTGAGAACACTAGCCTCAGTTACTTTGAAAGAACGCAAATTGCCTTAAAAAACGGTGTTGCCTCTACTTGTGGTCTTCCCTACTGGTACAGGAAAAGTAAAGGAAAAAGGCAGAGGCATACACTGTGCATAGAAACAGGTCACACACCAGGGGTAAAGGCTGAGCGCTTTAAACATGCATAATTGCAACTAATCATCCTAACAGCCCTCTGCTGCGGGTGTCACTATCCCAATTTGCCAAAGCTCAGGGAAAACGGACATCCAGAGAGGTGCAGGGGCACCCTGGGGAAAAGCAAGCTAGGAAGTGCAAGTGCTTAAGCAGGAAGCCTAACTCCAAGGTCTGTGCCCTGGCGAGGACATGTTGCCTTCCAAGACGCAGGACTCATGAGAGCAAGGAGCTCTCTCAGAGCACGGCGCAATGGCCATGTGCTGAAATTAAAATGCGATCATTTGGGGTGAAATTCTACACCGTCTTGCTCCAGATTCAACTGTAAATAGCAGCAGAAGCCAAAGATTTGACAACTTCCTACCCATGAACTTCTTTTTCAATAGATCGTTGAATAGGCCGTTCACCGCGACTGTTTTATCTGAGCATGAGAACCCTCTCGTTCAGGAGAATAACGCAGAATTTCAGATGAATCCGCAGGTAGCCCCCGTGCAGCCACACAAGGCTGTCATTTTCTCCTTCCCGTGGCTGGGCCTTCCCTCCTCCCTGCAAACCTTCAATTCTAAGACCCTGCTTCACTGTGGAGGGGCAGGTGCAAGCCCAGAGAGCCACAGGGTCTGTGTCTTTTTCTATTTTAAGTGAGGGCTCCAGGATAACATAGTAGAATTCCACACGCTGAATTTTTCATGCAGTATTTTTGTGAAATCACTGTTTCCATATTTTGAGTCTGAAGGGACCCTGAGTCTGCTCTCTTCCATCTTCCCACCCCCCTTGCACCCCACAATCACGAAGATATCCTCAGGTGCCAGCAAAAGAGGGCAAGGTACAACTACCACGTGGGTCCACCTTCAAAAGGTCCCTTCTGAATATAAAGATTCTGCAGCTGTGCCAAGTTTTAAGGCCTTCCGCCTACTTCTTGCTGCCATCTCTTGTCCTCCTCGTTCAATGCCATCCAGTGGGGCCAAGTCCCCCACCGCATGAACGAGAAGCAAAGAGGCACAAGAAAGAACAAAACGAAAATACACAGGGACAAAAGGAGAAGAGACGAGAAGCGTGCTGTTTAAGGTTGTAAGAGGGCCCCCCTTGTGCGCCGCATGTAACGTGGAAAGAGAAAGTTCAGCAGCGGTGAGTATTTGGGACGCAGGTAGTATCAGGGTGCTATCAAATTTGGGTGAGTAAATGCATCCAACAGACACACACAAACAAGGCAAGAACCATTGACGGGAATTAAAATTTGTAGAACACCTACCCTGGGCCGAGTCTAGATATCCTTATCAGATCTGTCTAAACCACTCAGTACACGGTTATAAAACTAAGAAATGTTTTTCTCTCGCACCCAAGGATCTCAATATCCTGAGAGTCTAACGAGACTGCTGCCTGACCCATTGACTCTTCTGCCTTCTAAGGAGCCAGACAGTGGGTTGAACTCACCCAAATGAGGTCTGAAAGGACAAGTGGATTCTGATTATCGCTGTCACTCCTTTCTCTGATTTCCATAAATAACGGAGGTGAGTCTACAGAACCATTTTTAAAATAAATTGGCATACTTAACTATACAACTGGCAAAGACGGTTACCTCCTGGTCACTCTGACTAGCGAAACGGATCTATTGTGGGGAATGAAGAGTCTCCGGGTACCACGGTAACATTCTTAAATGGTCACAGACGTGGCTACGAAGGCACATCCAGCAATAAGGGCCATCCTCAGCTAAAAGGTTAATTCTTTTAGCAGCTGAAAAGTCTGTGCTCTCGGGCATATCTCAAGGCCGAGAACTTATTACATAAGGCGCAATCTCATTGGGCATGCCGAGTAAATAACCTTGCTAAGAATGTAGTGTAGGGCACCTGGGTAGCTCAGTTGGTTAAGCGACTGCCTTCAGCTCAGGTCATGATCCTGGAGTCCCGGGATCGAGTCCCGCATCGGGCTCCCTGCTTGGCAGAGAGTCCGCTTCTCCCTCTGACCCGCCCCCCTCTCATGTGCTCTCTCTCTCATTCTCTCTCTCTCAAATAAATAAATAAATAAAAATCTTTAAAAAAAAAAAAGAATGTAGTGTAAAGAACTGCTGTTCAGATGGGGTCGAAGCGGGTGAACAAGGTAAGGGGAGGAAGTAGTCAAGTATAAGGCCACTATGGGATGTAATTTATGGTGCTTTAATCATTTGGGCATGTCCAGTGTTAAAGGAGCTGTTTGCTTGGCACAGGGTGGGGGCTAACAGAAACACCCAACGAGGAGACCTCAATGGAAGGATGCCAAAAATCCACCCCAGCGAACTTGGGGGATGATGGCAAAGGGGTTCTGCCGGGTCACAGAGGCCAGGCCTGAGGCAGCTAAGAAAGGGCTTAATTATCTAGCCATTCTCATTTGAATTGGAGGTAGCCAGCAGGAGGAGTGTGCTGGACCTCCAATTAGGTTAGTTAGAAGGTTATTCTGTCTAAGATCAGAAATAGAGGTGAGGCAGAGCCTGCTGGGGGCAAAACATCAAAGGCCCTCTTGGCCATCAGGGGGTTCCCCTTCCTACTGTGGACCAGGCCATTCCCATGACCTGACACTTCAGTAGGGTTTTAATTTCTGGCACCATGGAAATTCTGACCTTCTGTCTCAGAGAAGAATGTCATAACCCCTGATGCCCAGGGAACTTTAAACAGTACAATTTTAAACATATTTTACTGCAAATTGAGTTTTACTGCCAAATGCTATTTTATAACAATCCTCTTCTTAAGAAAGCCTCACTCTAACGAAAGTATGTTTCTCTCATGGCCGCAGTCATCACAGTTCACAGAAGGAATGTCAGGGGCAGAATCATTCAGCAAGACATTTCAGGCTGGAAATATTCATCCTGGCTCCTCCTTTAGTTATGTTCCCAGAGAAACCCTCCTCCATTCTCTGAAAATGTCCTTAATCCTTGACAGAAAAGCCTGTATAAGTTTATTAGCCTACATTATGCCCTAAGTCACTAAATCACAATAGAGAAATTGGGGTAGGACAGAGTTTAAGAGAATTTTAGCCACTCATCTATTTTTTTTCTTTTTTCAGAGAAGGAGGGGGAGTGCAAGCAGGGGCAGGGGGAGGGGCCCAGAGGGAGTCCTTTTTTTTTTTTTTAAAGAATTTTATTTATGTATTTGAGAGAGAGAGAGAAGCAGACTCCCCGCTGAGCAGGGAGCCCGATGTGGGACCCGATCTCAGGACCCTGGGATCATGACCTGAGCCAAAGGCAGACACTTAACCGACTGAGCCACCCAGGCGCCCCTACCACTCAACTATGTATAGGGTCTTGTTTTTACTGCCCTATTAAGTGCAGACACACATCCAGTGGGCTAAATACTCCAAACCTGAAATACATAAACTCTCCCTGAAATACACGAACCCTACCTAAAATATGTAGACGCCATATCTGAACTATCTAAACAATCCTAGCCAAAAGTAATCCCAGAAACTTATATCCTCAGTTGCCTTTTGGTTGAAAAGTATTTCCGTACTCACCTATGAGATTTCCTAAGATAGTTCAGTCTCCTACTTCTGGCCATAAATAAGTGAGAAAAATTAACAGTCCGTTTGATATTATATGTCTTTGTAGTAACTTTGAGAATTTATTCTGTAAACATTTGGATTTAATTAGTGAAGATTTATTTCTGCAGTAGAATTTAATAATTACAAGAATATGATGTATTTCATTAAGGCTATGCTTAATCTTAATAAAAATATTAATCATTTAAAATTAATAATTGATCATTATTGGTAATGCTTTCAATTTTTCATATCTTAGAGGTAGCCAGTGTCATGAATCTTGCTATTGTAGTAGTATAATATATTCTGTTTTAAAATATACTCTAACTAAAATACATACATATACATTCCTTTCTTTACTATGAGGTGTTTTTTTTTTTTTAAGTTTAGAATACATTTTGAGTTCAGTGTTGGGATGGAGGAAAGAAAAATCTACGTTGCTTCAGTGAAACTCACTGGTGGAAAAGGTATGAATAAGAATAAACTCCAGTAATTTTACCCCCTCATTAAAACCCATCATTTCAGTATTTCTTGAGTTTGGGAGTGGCATGGGGGAGAGGAGTGGCTCTATCCTCCACATCACAGTAGCTTCCTTTCCAAATGGAACACAAACAGGTATAAAATGCAGCCTGACCCGGGACAATCACTCAGGATAATACATGCCATTTGGTGGATTAAAAATTTATAAGATATTTTTCCATCTCTGCTTGGAATACAAATGAATATATTCTCGTCTCATGTAAAGTGATTTCTCACTCAGAGCTGAAGAGATGTGTAACACCGTAAATTCTATGGGTTTTTGCTTTTCTAATTATATTACCCAGGAAATAAGCTAACCAACTGGAGGACTTGGCAAGAGAGTCACAGTCCACATACCAACCACATATAAATAAGCTCTCTTTACATAAAAATCCCAGTAGGCTGGAATGGTATGGCTTCACCACCACACACGCGCGCGCGCGCACACACACACACACACACACACACACCTGCACCATGTCAATATAACATTTTTCATTAAAGACTTCATTCCACATCACACAATGTGCCTGTGTGTGTGTGTGTGTGTGTGTACATAAACTTTCACAGTATATAAAATATAATAGCTATCTCATGTTTCCAAATGTCAAATTCATGCCCCCCCCCCCCTTTGGCCCCAGGCGAGGACTAACAAAAACACCCAATCAAGAGGCCTCCATGAAAGGATGTTAAAAATCCACACCAGCAAACTAAGGGTTTTCAGCCAGTGCGATGGCAGCACCTTGATGGAAATCCAGTGGGGCAGTGGGTGGGGGAAGCTGGTGCATGCCCACACGAACACATCAAAAGTCTGGAGCCTGTCTTTTGCCCCGTAAGTTACCTAGAGAGGAAACATTTTGTTATGGGTAGTCATGTAACTTTGTTTAAATACATCAACAGAGAAAATTAATTTTCCCCCTTAAGGCAAGGGTTGAAGGTAATCTACAAATACGTGTTATCTTTTGCAAGATGGTATTAATTTGGTTTGATCTCTGATAGTGCTGATTACCAACACTCCTTCTAATGAGGACGTGTTTTTGTTTTCTTGCCTTTGTCCTATATTTCTGCAGCTCCTATGATGGAATGCAACATCATAATTTCTGTGATTAGAAACAATTCTGTATAGGAGCGGATTCAGAGAGGACTAAAATTGTCATAATACCTGAGCAATTCTGTGCTCAAAGATTTTTGTTAAGAATAAACTACTATTTTTGAATGAAATAAAAGTGTTATTCGTGCTACCCCAAAAAAGAAAGAAAGCTTTTTAAAGGCATTAGTAAAAGGATATGGGCAGAGAGCAGAAAGAAGAGATGTTTAAGACCAAATAAAAATTGAATTCCTATAATCATGTAGCAAGAAAGAAACGTAAGCCCCAGGCTCTCAGAAATCCAAGAAAAAGGCTGAGAGTTTCAAGGTGAAATCCCAATTGAGAAGATAATTCAGCAAGCCATTGTAACCATCTGCGGTGATGAATGCAAAAATGCCCAGCAAAAGGCAACTATCAGAAGTCAGAATATTTCCTTACAATTAGTCTTATGCACACGCACAGACTGTGAATTTACTAGCTATGTGGCTGAATCCTATACCACTTCTCCCTAGTCCTTGGATCAAGTCCTTGGAAACAAGAAAGACATGGGGGGGGCGGGGAAGGGTGTTCTATCTCCATGATTTCCAATAAATTCTGATAAAACTGCATCTAAAATAAACAAGATGACTTTATACCTAAACATTCCACTTTTTTCAAAAATCACCTTTAGACAGCTAGAATTTGGGAGAGAACTATAGAAGCTGATTTGGAGCTTACTGTGATACAGCATTTTAATTTGAAATGGAGACTAACTCGAGAATCAGCTGAAAAACTATAGAATTAATTTTTCAAAGGCTCAGTAAAAGTAGTTACAAGGTTCATTTTTAAAGGTCACTCCTTGCAAACTAACATAAACCAGTTAGAAAGTGTATTGGAATAATAATAACTCACATTTACAACATCAATAAAAACATGATACCTAACAATAATCCAAAGAACAAATGTGTATCATTTCTATGAAAAAAAAACAAAAAACAACACATAGATTGCTCGAGAAATGTATACACAAAAGATAAAAATGAAAAGAGATTCTATTTTCTTGGGAAAAAAAGACTTAGTCTTGTAAAGATGTCACTTTTTTCAAAATCACTTTACAAATTTTGTGTGATATAAATCAAAGACTCAGAGGGATTTAATTTTCTTGAAACTTGGCAAAAATGTTTAAATTGTCCAGAAGAACAGGCAAAAGAAAGAAGAAAGAAGAAAGAAAGAAAGAAAGAAAGAAAGAAAGAAAGAGAAAATGGTAAAGAATAGAAAAGAAATTAGCAGATCTGAAAACATATTTTAAAATGTCATTGAATTTGCAAACAGCATTTAGAAAAAAATTAAGTGTATAGAAACAAACCCTAGGGGTGCCTGGGTGACTCAATCGGTTAAGCGTCTGACTTCAGGTCATGATCTCAGAGTCCTGGGATCGAGCCCCACATTGGGCTCCCTGCTTAGCGGGGAGCCTGTTTCTCCCTCTCCCTCTGTGCATGCTCTCTCTCTCTCTCGCTCATTCTCACGCTCTCTCAAATAAATAAAATCTTAAAAAAAAAAGAACAAACCCTAATGTATGGAGCTGCTGTCTGACAGAAATGCAATAGGAGCCACATAGAGAATTGAAATTTCTCTAATACTTTCATTTTAAAAAGTAAGGAAAAAGTGAAGTTAATTTGAATAATGTCAATTATATTATTCATATGTCAATATATTATATATCATATTATATATATTTTATTGCACCCAAAATATTATCACTCTTACATGCCATAAATATCAAAACATTATCAAGGTGTTTTACATTCTGTTGTTAACTGCTGTTGTTCTAAGGACTTGAAGTCCAGTAGGCATTTTACACTTACAGCCCAGCTCAGCATGGCCTAGCCATATTTCAGGTGCTTGCGAGTCACATATAACCATAGGCTGCAGTGTTAGGGCAGGTACAGAGCAAATGTGATTAAAAAAAAAAAACAGGGGTGCCAGGGTGGTTCAGTTGGTTAAGCATTCAACTCTTGATTTTTGGCTCAGGTCATGATCTTGGGGTTTGGGAATGGAGCTCCGCATCAGGCTCCATGCTGAATGTGGAGCCTCTTAAGATGCTCTCTCTCCCTTTCCCTCTGCCCCTCCCTCAACCCTCTCTCTCTCTCCCTCTCTAAAAACAAACAAACAAAACATGAATTCATTAAGTGATATTAAAACAGTTTCTCTTTTGATATGCCCATATATACCTGTGTGTGTGTGTATAGATATATACATGTGTGTGTATATATATCAACCAATGAACAGTATAAGCTCCAAGGATATAAAAGAGTTAAGTGGTTAAAAGAGTCAAAATTCACCAACTTTGGAATAATATAAGTGACTCTGCCAAAGGAAGAGAGAGGAAAATTGTCCAATCTTTAAAGCAACATAAGTAGTCTCAAAACAAATGGTCAGTAGATTTGGTTATGGGAAATTTCAAAACTTTTTCTTTCCCGAACTCAAAAGATAACTGGTAAAAACAAATATTTGCTGTAAATATGACCAATAAGGTTTTATTAAATTTGAGGAGCTCATGTAAATCAAGGTGTAAACCGGTAAAAACTTCAACAGATGAATGGACAAGGACAGGAACAGAGAATTTAGACAAGAAAATAATCAAATAGAGAACAAACAAAAGGGAGGAGGAGCCCACCTCACTAGTAATCCCAGAAATGCAAATTTAAACAAGAAGATGGTTTGATGCTCTCTCCTTCCTCAAACACCCAACGTTTGTGTCTTCCAACTTTTCCCATCTTTGATACAACCTTTGAGGGTGTAGCTATGATTAGCAAATGCTATGACATTGTATCTTTCACCATTTGAAAGAATTCTGTATATAAATCAAGTAGAAAATGACCAAAAATCATTGTAATGCCTGAATTATTTAGTGCTCAAAGAATGTGAGAGAGAGAAAGAAAGAGGCGGAAAGAATCATGGCATTCCAGAGTGGATAGGACCTCAGACATCTAAAAAACAGTGAAGCAATGGGAATGAAGCTGTACATTAAGCCAAGTTACTTTTGTTTTCCAAACTCTCACAACCTCAGGCATCACAGGTGATCTCAACTGTCAGCTGCTCCAATACATACAACAACAAAAAAATAATGAAAAGAATGACAATCAAAGAAAGATAAACTTTAACACCCATCTTTGCAGCAGTGAAGGAAAGCATTGGTTAAGAGGTTAAGACTCAGCCTGCCCAAACCATAATGAATGTAGCGAATGCTAATATAGTGCTTACTATGTGCCGGGTGCTGTTCTAATCAAATCTTCACAATGACCCAATGATGTAGGTATTATTGATACACTCATCTTACAAACAAATGGGGCATCTTAGGTACAAAGAGCTAAATAACTTTTTTAGAAACACATTGTTAGTAAGAGTATGCATTAATTACAATCCTGCCCGTAGGAGACATAACCACATTCTAAAAAGCAGGCTAAATTCCTGCTAATTAAATATTTAATGAATGCTTATTATGTTAGCATATTGGTTTTAAAGAGGTCCAATTTATGACACAACTGAGTTTCCTTTTATATGCTAAAGTAACACTTATGATACTGTGGAATTCCTCACATATACTAAGGTATTAAGTGCATTAAAATGACTTTATAAAGGGGTACCTGGGTTGTGCAGTTGGTTACGTGTCTGAGTCTTGATTTCGGCTCAAGTTATCATCTCAGGGTCATGAGATGGAGCCCTGTGTCAGGCTCTCTACTCAGTTGGAGTCTGCTTAAGACTCTCCCTCCATCTCCCTCTGCCCCTCACCCCTACTCTCTCTCTCTAAAATAAATAAAATATTTTTTAGAAATGACTTTACAAGATTTAGAATAGCTTTATTACATACATGTTTGTAGAGTTGTATGGTTGTCCTATCTTTCCTTCCAGGGTTCTGGTGGCTTATATCAATGGACCATCTTGGATCAGAAATACGGGCTCCCATCAGTGGTATCACTGGAAGAATCAATGTTATTTTCCTATCCCCCTTAGCTCCAGAAAGGGGAATAGGGAACATAACACCATTATGGAAGTGACTATGACATGGAGAATGTCCCACAAAACAAAGGGGGAGATGAAAAGCTGGTTCTTTCCAGCCCCTTTGGATTTAGAGATGTGGGGAAAAGAGACAAGAGTCATAGCTAGTTAAAATCCTGACTCTACCACCTACTGGTAATATGACCTTGAGCAATATCTCAGCTCAGGCTGCTGTAAGAAAAATACCCTAGGCTGGGTGCCTTAAACAACAAACGTTTATTTCTCACAGTTCTAGAGGCCGGAAGTCTGACATCAGGGGCCAGCACAGTTCTTGGTGAGGGCTCTCTTCCTGGTTTACATAGGGCGGTCCCCTCGCTGTATTCTCACATGGGGGAGAGAGGAAACTCTGGACTCCTCTTCTTCTTATCATGGGGGCTCCACTCTCATGACCTCCCTACATCTAATCACCTCCCAAAGACCCCACCTCCAAATACCATCACAATGGGAATTAGGGCTTTGACCTATGAATTTTGAGGAAGCACACACATTCAGTCCACAGAAGTGGTTTATTTAACCCTTCTCTGCCTGAACTTCTCCATCTATAAAATAGAGGTAAATAATAGCACCTGTTGCTCAGGGTTGACAAGGATTAAATCCTGCCTGTAAAACACTTGGGATGATTCCTTTTATGTAAGAAATGTATTTTCATCATTCTTGCTCATGTTCTTTTTCATTACCCACAGGGCTAGGACCGAGGTTCAGCCCTTCTTCACCTCACATCTGGAAAAATCACAATAAACCCAGAGCTACTTCCAAAGTCCAACTTCCACCCTACGCTTCTTCAATCCAATGCATATTGCTGTAACTAAAACAGAGATGGGACCATGTCACTCAATAATTCCCCAGCACAGCAAGATAAAGAAGAAACCCTCCAATTCAGCATGCAATGCCCTCTGTGACCCAGCCCTTGCCACCATCAGAGCCTCCATGCCTTCATACGATGCTGAACCCCTACAGAAGTACTCACAGGTCACTGAAAACACTATCATATTACTTGGTTCTGCCTGAGAAATTTTCACCTCCCAACCCACCCTTATCTTCACATACCAGGAAAGCTCCTAATCATCTCTCAAAACTCACTTCAAACGCTGTTTCTTCATAAGGAATTTCCTGTTTCTTATCTAATCTGGAAATAGAAATAACCACTTTTGTGCCCTATCATACTCCATACCCAGTACTTACCTTAAACTTAGCAAACTTGGTCTCCTATTATGCTGGGCCCAGTACTCTGCAGGGTCCTACCTTGTACTTCCTCTGACTGTGACCTTCCCCTGGGGTCAAGGAATCTAGGAGAAGTGAAGAAGGATTCAAGCACCCAATATCTGTGTCTGCCCCTCCTTCTAGACCAAAAACTGGATCCAAGAAGTGGCCTTGAGCCCTCTTCCAAGGTTTGCAAAGGCCTTTTCCCTGGCCTGACTCCCAAGCACAGACCTTGCCACCAGCATATTCACCCCTGGATCACAGGGGTCACCAAGGGGCAAATATTGGCAGGAGAGTATGAATGGAGCTTGGACATGGAATTTGAATTGTTCACACGCATGCATACAAGATTCTACATGGTATAGGATAAAACGTGAGATGGGAAAAAAACTAGATTGGAGGAGCCATTTGTTCTCTTGTCTGAAAATGTTGGGAGCATACCTATGTAATTTCTGTCACAGAATATACAAAGATTTAGTGTTAACCATCTAACTTTATAAATATTTCTGTAATCTACAAGTACTAATGTAGTCCTCTCTCATTTACTCTCTACTCAAAAAAAAACAAAGAATAGTTGATTCTCCTTATTTGTAGTAGTTATGCTCCATAAAGCTGCCATGAACACTGAATTAGCAAATACTGAACCATTGCTCCTATGGGAAATACAGGGTTAGGTTCCTGTGAGCCCCTGGTCACAATACTTTCATCAGTCAATCAGTGCATTACCTTGTGTGTGTTCCTCTCTAAAGACACCTTATTTAATATATACTGGTGATTCATTAATATCAAACCCACAGTGAACAACACTATAATTCATCCTTGATGAAGTTTATCCAACACACGCATTTTCTCTGTAAGCACATTTTAGCCTTCTTATGCTAAGGAACACAGATAGTACTTCAGTGCTACACTTGGGAGCCATTTAAACAGTGAAATCACCAACAAAAAGCACAAAAATGTCAAAAACATGGCACTAAATAGATCATAAAAAGGACATTCATTTGCAGCATGAGAGCTGATACAAAAGGGCAGAACTTGGCCTTATTCTACTTTAGTAGGGAATATGCAGATTAGGCAATTCACATTTTTGATCACTCTGCAATGTTTACAAATGACTGCAAAAGTGCTTTATCAGTTTGGCGGGGTGTGGTACAAATGCATTTTAGCAAGTAAGTAAATTCACAAATACAGACTCTGCAAATAATGAGGATTGACTGTAGGTAGAATTTCGGGATCTCCCTCCTGAGGATTCACCCCAGTGTGGTCCAAGATCCCTAGGGATTTTTGGAGTCTGGAAGGGGAAGTCAGTCCTGTTTCAATACCCCAAAAGAAGAGGGTGGTTCATTGGCTCAGACATTCTACGTGGATTTACTGAGTGCCTCTTATGAATCAGACCCCGTGCAAAGTCCTGGGGACTAAGAGTCACCAGTTTGTTCTCAGGGAAGGCTTAGATGAGCCAAGGAGACCACTTCAAGAGTAACACTAGTAAATATGTAATGATGTCACCAACACTGGGAGTAGCCTGCACAAAAACCTCTTCTCTCTTCTTCCTTGGTAGCAGAGTCTTCGTTCTATTTAGGTATTTTGCCTCCATGTGACTCAGGGAGGGGATCCTATGGTGAGCCCAAGTGTAAGTCTACAATGGTTTATGTCAACAGGTATGACCCCATTCCTCTTGCAGTGATTACCATGTATACACCTACAGCTTCAGGAGATAGGCACATAAGACTGTCAGGGTCACATCTATGAAACCGTGTCCTGCTCTTACACAGAGACATGTAGCAAGAGCTAGACACTCTTCTTGCACTGTGGAGGTCCCATGGCAGGCATCTGGGAGCCATCAGGAAAGCTAAATGACATACTGAAGAAGGTAGGCTAGGGCTGACACCATCGCTGAGGTGAATGAAGTAATCTTCAAGGCTCCCCACCCTGGCACGCGCACACATACTCGTTATAGAAGATAATAAATTGGCCTCATCGTTTATGCCAAGAGCAGCTGCTCTACCTAACTCGAAGTGACACCATCCACATCTGAGTCTACTGTGTGAACTTACGGTCCTGGAGCTGTGCCACATAAACCCCTATATAAATCACTCGAGAAGGGAGCGCAGAGTGGGGATCAGAGTAGTCTTCTCTGAGGAAGCAAAGGTTCAACAAACATCCAGGGATAAGAAGGTATCAAGATGAGAGAGAGCATGGTAGACCATATCCAGTCTTACTGAACCTTGATTAAGCCCAGAAACATACAACTGGTGGAATCAGGAATTCCTCTTATGAGGAATTCTCATGTTTGTTGCCCTCTCCTACACCTAGCCTTAAAGAGGCAGTGGGCCTTATTCTGTCATTCAACTCCCTGGCCCTGGGTTTCCCTCCTGCACAAGAGAAAGAGACAATTTATACTGTCATGTAATGTTGATCTACATTTCCTGGATCAACAATAAATAAAGTGAAAAATAACCTAGGTTATTTATCCACATTTTGCCAATCCTCAAATCTGGTATTCCCTCACAGTATGTTCTAGTCCCACGCAGGAAAGACCTTCCAGGCAGAGCGCATGACACAAGCAAAGAATCTGTGGCTGAAGAAATCCTAATGCCTTTAAGGACCTGAAAGAGGGAGGGGGATGAGATGAGGAATGAGATGAAGCTAGAGAGGAGGATACACAGCTAAACATACAAGCTCTGAGAAGGATAGGGTGGCCTAGCCTCTGCCAGGAGAAGGAACACCTCTACTAATACAAAAAAGGATCAGGTGAGCTGGGAAGTGGATTTGGAAGCTAAGAAGGTGCTCACATAATGCTCCTACTAATTGATCTGGGATGCCCTGTGCTGACGGTTGGGGGGCAGGGCTCCAAGTCTTTCCAAAGACCATCCATGGAATTGCATAGGAGCATGAATCCACTCCCTGGAAGTTAACCTCAGCCAAGAATGTCCCAGCCTTGGTTTCCCAAGGCTTTGAGAACCCTGTACCCACCATAGCCCGGGCATTGGCTAAATTGGGAATGCTGTGTCAGAGATGACTGACAGAGCTCGGCGTCTGCCCTCACACACCTGGTCTCAACTCCCTTTCCTCCTAGGAGGTTCTCATCACCTATAGTAAAAACAGTTTTTCTCTTCATCCCCTGACACGCAAAATGTTTCCGTACATCTTCTTTCCTAGATAATCAAGCCACACACCATACCGTTTGTGGTCATGCAGGAGGAGCATCCCCGTGGATTTCTCTCCCCCGCCCCCATAGACTTCTGATTACATTGCTTATGCTGGAAAACAGGGCTTTCCATTCACCTACTAAAGGGTATCAACCCTACTTGCTTCCTTTGTACACAGGAAATTAAATTGGGGCAGGGAGAGTTGGGGCTATGCCCACCTTCAGGAAAAGGGAGCTACTTTCAGTGTCTGAAAAATGATTTACTCTTCCAAGAGTGACAAGAATGACATCAGCAGCAGGACATCCATCTATAGCTATCTTTTGCTTTCTCCCTCAAGGCAGGAGCTAAGTCTTTGTTTTTCCATCTCCAGGTCTAGCACCATGTCTGCCACATGGCAGGTCCAAACTCTAGTTCCGCTCAACAGATAGCACCTGTACATGTATGTGAGTCCTCACTGACACACTAGAAAGACCCTGGAGTCCTTTTCCAGGATGGTCTACAATAGAATACAATTTCTGAGCAAGATCTTCAAATGACCCAGTAAATATCTAGCCTTTCTTCTCACCTGCTAAATTTCAGTATCAGATGTGAGCATCGTACAACCATATTCCAGCATTCTTCTTTGCTGCTGAAAGGTAAGGAAATGTCCTCTTTTTCAATGGTATTAAACTGCCTCCCAATCTCTCTAGGAAATTGTGCATGTTTATTTTAAGTGAGTGTGGAAGCCCAGCCGCCTGTCATGGGGCCAGACACAGCTATGGGGTCTCCCCTATGTTTCAGCATCAAAGACCTGATGGTAAACATTATTTCCCCAACATACCACACAGCCCACTTGCTATGTGCAGGAGAGCAACACCCGCCCCCCCAGTGGCAGCTTGGCATATTGCCATGCTTGCCCCTAAAACACCCATTGACTCCAAGAAGGTTGTTACTCCCAGGTGATCAGATTCTGTTAATACTTCTAAACAGTAGAAACCTAAAGTAGGGAATACAGATCCTAGAGCAAATTCGGTCCTCACAGTTGCTAGAGTCTTTATTTTTAGTACCACTTCATTATCCAGCACAGGCGCAACGATCTCTCTAAAATGTCTTAAGAACCTTTTGGTAAATAAAAATGATAAATGTTGACCTTCATGGTCTCTTTCCAACCCTAAAAATCTATGATTCGTTTCTTCTCAAGACTTCACATTTTCAAGGCCCAAGGAGGTTTAAGTAAAAAGTCAATGTAAATAGCAGGCAATGGGCCCTGATAAATGTCCTGAACTGAGAGTAGCCAAAGTCGGGGGTTGGGGGGAGTAAGAAAGTGAAATAAAGGTGCAAATATCTTTACAGTTGCCATCAGAGATGGTGGGAAGCCTCAAAAACTGCCCTTGAGAGCAACTCAAAACTAAGCAGGCTGTTAACACAAGCAGATACCATTGTTTGCCTTCGCAAAACTGTTCTTTCAGAAAGTCAATAGTTCCAAGTGTCAAGACATGGCACCTGGCAGCCAGATGTCCCCCCGCATTACCCTATCAAGACTGGGGTTTATTAAAGGTGCCTGTATTGCTAGCAGCCAAAGAGCGAGTTGTGTTCTGGCCAAACGTTCAGCCTGGCAGTAAGAAATATATTTTCATCTCTCTTCAGCATACACACACACACACACACACACACACACGCACACACGCACACACACACGTGCGTGCGCACACACACACACGCACACGCGCACGCACACACGCACGCACACGCACACATGCACACACACACGCACACACACACGCACACGCACAAAGTTTTACTTAGAAATTGGATGAAACAGAAAAATCAAATCTGTTTTTGGCTCCTGAGTCCTGTTCCCCCAGCATCGTCCCCCCAGCCGTCTTGCTGGCCAGTTTTCCCCTCAGATACTCTGGGAGCAGATCCAGAGCCACCATTTTCATTCTACCTTTTCAAGTCTGTTGAAAATCAAACTGCCTGAGGCCACTGCCATGGGGGCCTCACAGTTCCCGGAGTGGCGCAGCCTCGTCCACCTCTCTGAACTCTGTCCGGTGGCCTTCTGAAGGCTCTATGCAGTGACTTCTAGGTTTCCAGGATGATTTCATGTCACCAGGTCAAAATCTGTGTTCCTTGGCAAAAGATTTGATACATGATGTTGGTCTATCGGCTCAAAAGACCACACTTCTTTTAGGAAGACTGGAAACTTTTAAACATTGATAGGAGGTTCATTGTCTACACTGGGGGCTGGAATTATTATTTTAAAATATTTAAGTTAACTGGAACAATTCCCCTGAAACATCCTTTCTTTGCTGTATTTCCTACTTCCAAGTCCTGATTTGCTTTCATACTCAAAATCTGTCTCTGACACCTCAGATCTGGGGGCAGTTTTGGTCTTTGGTCTTCACTTTCCTCCATCATCATGTTTTTTTAGACAGGCTGCCTAACATACTCACTAATGGTCAGCTCTTACGAAATTCAACACAACTAGTAAAATTGTCCATTGTTTATATGAAGTGTTCACAACAGAAGCCTGGTGGGATATAGGATGGGAGACCCTGGGTCCTTTTGGTTCCCTGTTGGGTTAGAATGGAATTACAAACCAGTCTGTGTTCTGTGCATGCTGGTCTGTGTTTGTTGTTTAGAATTATCAGTATGACATTCAGAATACTGAATCATTTTCTGTCACAATTTTTATTTAGAGAGCTTAAAAGTTAGGGGCACCTGGGTAGCTCAGTCGTTAAGCATCTGCTTTCGGCTCAGGTCATGGTCCGAGGGTCCTGGGATCGAGCCCCGCGTCAGGCTCCCTGCTCGGCGGGAAGCTTGCTTCTCCCTCTCCCACTCGCCCTGCTTGTGTTCCCTCTCTCTCTGAGTCTCTCTGTGTCAAATAAATAAATAAAATCTTTTTAAAAAAAAGTTACAGTAAGTGATTTGCATTTGGCAACTGAGTCCTGACTGACATCATTAAGTTCCATTTATTTTTGTTTCAACAAAGCAAACATTTCTCTGCTGTTTTTTTTAGTACCATGCTTACTCAAAGGGCTAATGTGCTTGGTGTTTAATCCATTGATATTATCTAGGTTTGTCTCTTTTTATCCCTTTGTATATGCCCTGGGGTCAGGGAGAGCATGATGTTCTATCTTCCGGCTTTTAAAATTCTATCTCCCCAAAGCACTAAAGAGTAAATAACTTAGAAGAGAAAAGCTTCCCAAAGCATCTTAATAATGAAGAGGATTTTGGCTGTTTCCAGGATGTTCTTCACATCAAGGTAAGTATTCCACTTCTCAGTAAGCACATAAACAGAACCGAGTCTTATTAATCCTAAAAACCAACATTTCGTATTTTCCTCTTTCAGTTTCCAGCCTTCGATGCATATGACATTGTATACATATCTGTCCTTTTAATCATGAGGCCAATTTCCTCCCTATTAATTAGCCTCAATTCTAATTAGGTTATTTAAGACCAACTTGTAGAGTTTACAGAAAATAACAACATATCCACTATGTCAGCAATCAAAGCCAAACAAGATTGGGACGATGCCAAGGATAAAAGCTCATCAGTGAGATTCAGAGATCAAGGAGAAAGGGGTGTTGTAACTTCAAAAGACTTTGCATGGTTGTGTTAACGGCCGCTTGCTTATTTGTAAGAGCCATTTCAGAAGGAATCATCTAAAGAATAAACTGAAGGAGAAAGCTGGAGCTATATGCCACGGCTCTTTCGCCTTCACCCTCCAGCCCACTCACCCTCCACCCTTTCCCAATCCCTGAGCCTGTGACAGGGGTGGAATTGTTGGGCTTCCCAGAAATGCTCAATTAGCCCAAACTAGAAAAGAAAAACAGCCAAGTGTAGCTCATGTTTCCTTAGGATCCAGTCATGGTGGGCAGATTTTAAAGAGATTCCTTCCCTTGGTAAGACATACAAGCACTGATGTCTAAGCAGGTTTACATGATCAATCAGGAGCTATTTGCTAATAGTCCTGGAGACGGTTTGCCTGCTTGTTTCCAGCACAAGGCAGGGTGGGGTAGGGAACTGTAGCAACCACCTTTCAAATCCCATCCTCCTTGAACCCTTTGGGAAAAAAAATGCCCTGTGTACCCCCAGCCATCCCCAAACACGAATGTTATCTATTTTAAGGGTTTACTTACCACTCTGCTAAGGACCATGAGGCCAACAGGAATGGTATAAAATATGGTTGCTACTGGTCCTGATTGGCCATTATGGGAATGTGCACGCATGCCTGCAAATGTGTGTGTGCATGTGTGTACCT